ATCCCCTCCTCCCATCCCCCCCTCCCGCCCCCATCCTCGTATCCCCTCCTCGTATCCCTCCTCCCGCCCCCTCCTCCATCCCTCTTCCCTTCCGCGTTCTCGCCCCCCGCCATGCCGGCTCCCCTCTACCTCGCCGTGGACGTCGGCACGGGCAGCGCGCGCGCCGCCCTCTTCACCGCCACCGGCCGCCAGCTGTCCGCCGCCTCGCACTCGATCAAGACGCACCACGCCAAGCACGACCATTACGAGCAAAGCACGTGCGACATCTGGCGCGCGGTTCAAGCCTGCGTCCGTCTCGCCACCGCACGCGCGCGCCCCGCCACCGCGGGCCAAGAAACCTTTGTCGCGGCCATCGGCATCGACGCCACCTGTTCCCTCGTCGTGGTCTCAGATGACGCCGACCATACGCCCCTCTCCGTCGTCGACGCCGCCTCGCCCCCCACGGACGACGTGTACAACGTCATCCTCTGGCTGGACCGCCGCGCCATCGCCGAGGCAGCGATCATCAACGGCCACGCCAGCCCACCCGTGCGCCGCGTCCGCGCGCACTTCGGCGACGCCCTCAGCCCCGAGAACGAGCCGCCCAAGCTCCTGTGGCTGTTGCGCCACAAGCCCTCCGTCATAGCGCGCGGCCGTTTCTTCGATCTCGCCGACTTCCTCGCCTTCAAGTGCTCCGCCGACCCGGCTGTCCGCTCGGCCTGCACTGTCGCGTGCAAGTGGGGCTGGGGCAGCGACACGGACGACGCGGGAAAAGGGGTGTGGACGCCTTCCTTCTGGCACGCGCTGGGTCTATCGGCACTGACGGCGAACAGCTTTGCCAAGATCGGGTCACGCATCCTGCAGCCGGGCGACCCCATCGGCCCGCTGTGCGAAGCCGCGGCGGCGGCCCTCGGGCTGTCGGCGCAGTGCGTCGTCGCCGCGCCGATGATCGACGCGCACTGCGGCTCGCTCTGGGCACTCGGCGCGACGTCGCCGCTGCTCACTCGCCTCGCACCACAGCCGACCATGCGGCTCAGCGTAGTGTGCGGGACATCGACCTGCTTCATCCAAGTCTCCGCGGCGCCGCGCCTCATCAAGGGCGTGTGGGGCCCGTTCCGCGACGCGATAATGCCGGGGATGTACGTTACCGAGGGCGGGCAGAGCGTCACCGGCAAGCTGCTGGAGCACACAGTCACGACGCACCCGGCGTACGCGGGACTCGTGCGGCGCGTCGGGAAGGACGGGGTGTACGACGCGCTTGCAGCGCTGACAGCTAGTGCGGTGACAAGCGGGAACGACCCCGCGCGACACGTGCACGTGCTGGATTACCACGCGGGCAACCGCAGCCCTGTGGCGGACGCGCAGCTGACGGGGATGGTGAGTGGGGTGACACTGGGAACGGACGAGTGGGACCTGGCCGTACGGTTCCGCGCGACGGTGGTGGCGATCTGTTGCGGTGCGCGGCACGTGGTGGAGGCGCTGCGCGACGGCGGGCACGACGTGCGCGTGGTGATGGCAGCGGGTGGGTTGTGCCGCAGCGTGATGTTTGTGCGCGAGCTTGCCGCTTGCGTGGGGGTCCCCGTGCTGAAGGGGGGGGAGGAGAGCGTGCTGCTGGGCGGCAGCGTGCTGGCGAGGTGCGCGGCCGAGGGCGGCGAGGTGGGGCTCGTGCGCTGGGCCAGGGAGATGGGCGGCGAGGGGAAGCGGGAGGTCGTGCAGAGCGAGGGCGGGGAGCTGTACGAGAGAAAGTACAGAGTGTATCGGGAGATGCATCGCGATTGGGTCAAGTACCGAGGCATTATGGACGGCCAGTGAAGAGCAGGCAGCAAGCCTGGCCTGGCAACAAGCCTGGCCTGGCAACAAGCTCTGGTGTTTCCATCTGGCTTTTGTCGTGGCACAAGCATCCTCTGATTTTTTGATGAAATGGCTCTGGAGGCACGGCGCGCCTGTAACGTGGCCACGTGGCTCTTCTGGTACTGTGCTGTGTAAATTCGGCCGGCGCAGCCAATCATTTTGGCTCAGATGCTCCTGCCACGCTGCCCAGGCAACCGAGAGGCGGCACGTTTCCCCCGTCGCCGCAACCTCCTCCCTGCCTCCCTCCCTGCCTCCCCCCCCCCCCCCCGCCCCCCCCCTATACCCTCGCCCCCCCCCCCCCCCCCGCTCCCCGCGTCCCGGCGGCCCCCACATCTCCCTCACACCACCGCGATGCCATCCCTCACCGTCCTGTCGTGGAACTGTCTCGCCGACGCGTACGCGCCGCCCACGCCCGTGTTCTCGACGCGCCGCACCGCGATCGCCGCCGCCCTAACCGCCGCCACCGCCGACATCGTCACCCTGCAAGAAGTCGACCACTACCGCGACTTCTATCATCCTCTGCTCACGTCTCTGGGCTATATCATCGTCTACGCGCCGCGCCCATCCCGCCCGGACGGCGTCCTCATCGCGGTGAAGCCGGCGCTGCGGGTTCTATCTCACCACTTGATCTCCTTCGACGACCTAGCGCGCGGCCCGGCGGCCGTGCACCTGCGGCGCCACAACGTCGCTCTCATCCTGCTCCTCGAGCACGGCCGCGTCCGCCTCTCCGTTTCCACGGCACACCTGTATTGGAACCCTGCCCGCTCGAACGTCAAGCTGGCGCAGGCGCGCTACCTGCTGCACCGCCTCTCGTACGTGCGCGAGCGCACCGGCCTGCCACCGCCAGCCTCCATCCTCACAGGCGACTTCAACAGCCTGCCCGATAGCGCGCCGTACCGCAGCTTGACGCGCGGCGCGCCTATGGCGGCCGTTACGGGGGCTTGCGTGTCCGCGGCGGTGCGCGGGGCGGTGTGCGGCGTGCGACGCGCGCGTGGGGAAGCCAGGTTTCTGTGCGATGGCAGCCTCAGTCGCCTCGCTCGGTGGCTGCGCCTTCTTGGCGTGGACGCCGCGCTGGAGGAGGGGCACGGCGGGAGACGCAATGTCGACGCCTTATTTGAGCGCGCCAGGCGCGAGAGGAGGATCCTAGTCACAAGTAGCACTACCGTGTGTCGTCGCGCAAATTGTCCGGAGAGCTTTTTTGTGCGCCCGGGCAAGATGGGGCAGATGGAGACGTGCTTGACGACGCTGCTGAATTGTTATGGCGTTCGGTTGGAGGAGGACATGATACTGTCGATGTGCGGCAAGTGTGGGGAGGCGATTGAAAGAAGGGGCGAGGGTGGGCCGAAGGATACCGAGTTGTTTACGTGCGGGGGTTGCGGGTGGGTGTATTGGGAGAGCACGTCCGGAAAGGGGAGCAGTGTCAAGGCAAGAAAGTTGGCAAAGAGGCTTTACAAGGCAGTGGAAGAGGGCCGCAGGAAGGCGGGAGCGGAGGTACGGAGAAGGGAGAGGTGTAGCAATGAGTTTCGGGGGGGTTTGAAAGACTGTGACTGTACGGCACAGGAAGGGAGGCGGGGGGAGTACTGGTTGAGGTACGAGTCAGCTTTCACGACTGTGCATGGGCGAGAGCCGGAATATACAAACGTGAATGGCGATTTTAAGGGGACGTTGGATTACATTTTTGTTGGAGGAACGGCGAAGGTGACCGCTGCCGAGGTCATTGAGACGGTGGTAGGGGGGGGGTGGCCTAGCGACCACTCAATGGTCAAGGCCGAGGTGAGTGTTGAAGAGCTGCCGGTGGGAAGGGCAGGATTTTCACGAACGCGGTCTTGCCCGCTTTGGTAGGCACGTAGACTTTGAGACTTGCATCTCGCAACTTTTCAAAGCCGTTTTATCTTATTATCTCAATATTTGTGTGTTGCTATTCCACCTTCATGCCATTGAAGGAATGCATGTCGACGTGGCGAAACATACCAAAGCGACCGTTCATATCAATCTGAAGTTCTCTGCCGCTCCAGCGTTTCAGTCGCCGCAGCGCCGTGACGTCAGTTTCCGAAATTTCTTCGATCAACACATGCGCGAGGACACGGGATGGCACTACCTCTCCCCGCGAGTCTCGTCTCTTCTCGGTGAACTCGAGCAACTCTTGCGCTGCTTCTGCAGCCTCCACGGCCATGTCCGATGAAAATGGTGGCGGTACGGCTGGCAGTGGTGGTTGATGGTGCCCAGCGTCGTCGACTTCGGACCCTACCTGCGAAGTACCGTCTGGGTTGTGTACCTCCTGCAGAATGAGACCACCGGCGGGCAGTAGGGCGGGGCCCGTAAGTTCCTCATGCAATAAATTCACAGCCCCCACGAGTCCACTCGTGTCCACGATGGACACTCTCACCTTGCCGTTGAGGAGAACACCAGGGCCTTGCACGTGGGATGCTGATGTTTCCCCTGCTTCCAGAGCAAGGACGGTCATGTACGGTAGCCTTTCCAGTACGCGGAAGGCCCTTCCTACTACCGTGCTCACGTCCTCGGCACCGGAGGCATCCATGAAATGAGCGAGTGAATAAGGTCTCTGATCGGACACAGACTCTAGTACAATTTCGCGAGCAAGAGACCTCGTAATTTCCATGCGGAAGGTCTCGCTTTCCTGTGCCAAACGGCGAACGTGATTCACAGCCAATGTGAAGACAGTTGCATCCCCGGCAATTTCGCAGCAGCAGAACTGCGAATCTGTGGCACGCTCTTGGGCGATGGCGATTGGTCCACCGGCATCGGCGGCGTGTGCGTGAAGGGTCAGCGTGGGGCTGCAGAAACCGTTGTGTGCTGGGAAGCACCAATGCATGGTTGCTCCTGAAGCCAAGGGGGTGAAGACCTTCTCCTTAGCGCCCCTCTCCTCCACGGCACTACCGCTCCCGCTTGAGTTGTTCTGTTGTAATTGCCCGGCAACAACGGCTGAGACTTGTCCCGGCGCGGAATGATCCTCTAACGGTCGGATGGCTCCTTCCAACACAAGCACCAACGAGCCCTTGTCGGCTTGCACAGACTGTCCGCCCTTGAGGTGCACCAGCTCACCATAGCGGTCAACTATGCTTGACATTAGCTGCATAGGCAAGCCTGAGAACAGCGGATGTTCACGGACCATGGCGCGAGGTTTGGGACGTACCGCCAATCTATTCCTGCCGCGGTAGAAGAGTGAATGTCGACTGCGGACGTGGTCCCTTCTGACATGGACCAGTTCCTCGTGGATGATACCATACTCTTGTTGATCGACGATTCCGCTTGCGAGCATGTCTGAGAGCACTTCATCCTGCTTCTTGGAGGTGACGTAGATGGCGAATTGCGACTGCACCCATTCAAATGCGTATGGGTTGAGAGTCTCGAGGCGGTTGAGGAGTGCGGCTGCTGCCTCGTACAGATGCTCAGCCTGGAGTTGGACGATGGGGGAAGAGTGCAAAATTTCTGCCTTGAGAATTTCAGTGAGGATCCCGAATACGAGCACTGCCGTTGTGATTGATGTCTGACCCTTGAGACGCTTGCCTTCAATAAGTCGCAAATATGACTTGTACAGCGGATTCTTGCCTGTCTGGCGACCGCGATTGTCGAGGAAGGAGAAGAGATCATAGTCCTTGCCCTCGTCGTTGGCATCGAGTGCGAGTTGGCAATCCTCTTCCAGGTTGTGAAGTACGTTGAACTCGACGAGACTAGCGTTTGAAATCGCCCTCACATGCGAGAGGATTGCGGTCAACAGACGCCTCTGCACCTCACGGTCGTCGTCGGAGAGTTCGAATGTCTGCCCTTCCAGCGCCTTGCGGTGCAAGGCAGCCACTTCGAGATGAATGCGTGCTTGGGTCAATTTCTCTGGGCGCTCACCACCACGTTGATAGCGGGCAACATCTGCGTCGATGGAGCGTCGGTTGGTGCCGCCGCCTTCCAGGCTGTAGTTTCCGCCTTGCATGGCGCCCATACCGAGCGAAAGAGGGACGAGGCCAGCACCATCCATGCTCAACGGCCCGGCAGGGCTTCGGATGCCAGAGGGACTTGCGACTCCTCCCCGAGGGCTGGCAAGTGCACCCGAAAACATCACCGGGGAACCCGCGTGCATGCCACTGTGTGTCGTAATATCGGCCGTTCCAGCGAGGCTGTACCTTTCGGAAACCTGGCCCATACTGATCCTCTTACTAAAGTCGTTGTGCATCTTTGTGAGTCGAGCCTCATTGCCGACGATTTCTAGACTCTTTCGGTGAGACGCCTGGTTGTTGTCCATGATCTGCTCCAAGGCCTCACGGTAATCGTCGCCGTGTTCGCTGTCCTCCAGCCATTCGTCAAGAAGGACGTTCTTAACGACGTACGACCAACGCGCCGATTTGAAGCCCGTCTCAATGCAAAGGCGGTCGAGAATGACAAAGGAACGCTGGACCATGATGGCGCGGGCGCGATGTAAAAAGTCCTCGCGAGATTTCTTGGCCTTATCAAGCTTCAACGACTTGATAAGCGGCTTGATCAAGAAACCATTGACCAGCAGACTCAGGGCGACAACACCCGTCGCCCACAAGACGACTCTTGACTTGATTCTCTCATCAATCTCGGATTTGCCGGCAACTTCGAGGGCGAGCACCAGAGACACAGCTCCACGAAGGCCGCTGAACCCAACGACGACAGCTTCCTTCCATCGATACCACTTGTTGCCCACGGACATCAAGGGCTGGAAGATAAGCATGAGTCCCATGCGAATAAACTGCAAGAAGAGGTAATATCCAAAGATGAGGAGGTAGTCGACATACGTGTTGGGATCACCGGCGCAGGACCAGGAGAAGGCGGAGAGGAGCAGGCCGGCGTGGACAAAGACGATGGTGTTTGCAATCCAGCCCAGGAGTTCCCAAAACTCTGCGAGGGGCCCGCGCACGGCCGGGGTGATCAAGTGGCGCCCAAAGGCCGAGATGGTGAGGCCCGAGGCGACGTTGCAGATGACTCCCGAGAGCTTGGAAGGGGACTGGGCAGTCCAGAAGCCCAAGAAGGCGACGATGACGGTGAGTGAGGTTTCAACCTCGAATTCATCGTAGACGAGACCCAGAATAACGAGCGCGATGATGCCAAAGGCGACACCCATGAGCATGCCACCCAGACTGAGCTTGAAGACCATGAGGACGATCTGCCCTTTGCTGAGAGCATCAGAGTCGATGGTGTTCTCAATAAAGGCCTCCCACAGGACGAAGGCGGAGCCATCATTAACGAGAGACTCTCCCTCAATGAGGGTGTTGAGAAACTCGGAGGCTCCCAGGGCCTTGAGGGTGGCGGTGACACTAATCGGGTCGGTGGCCGAAAGCATAGAGCCAAACATGAGAGCGGCCCACCAGTTCCATCCGTCATACCTGATGACGAGCATCTGAAATGAGGCGATGAGGGCGCACTGCAGGATGACGATGAGGAAAGCGGCGGTCAAAATGGGCATGAGGAGTCTCTTAAAAACATGCCACCTGGCGTTGAAGCTAGCCTCAAAGATCAAAGGGGCGAGGAAGATGTAGAAGAAGATGGTGGGCGGGTTGAGATGGACCCACTGGAGCAGGGAGACGGAGAGCCAGGAGAGGTTGACGCGGCAGCCGATGAGGCCGATGACGATGCCGATGACGAGGAGGAAGAGGGTGTAGGGGATGTGGATGAGGCGCGACAGCGGCATGGAGAGGACACCGATGAACAGGGCCAAGAACGGGAAGATGAGGATGGTGAAGTGGTCGCGGCACTCCAAGGCGTCGCAGTCCGGCGGCATGGAGAGGATGCACTCGGACGCCGAGTCTTTGCAGATCTGCAGGGCCTCGTGCGTGCTGCCGCCCGCCTTGCTACGCAGTAGAAACTCCATTGGGGGCGGGAAGGGAGCGGGGGGAAAACGGGGCGACTACAGAGGATTGCAGGGAGTGTTAGGACGGTGTGGAAGGGTGTGGGTGCTGGTGCTGGTGCGGGGGTGGGTTTTGTTTTGCGTAGGCGAGGGAGGGGAGCGGACGGAACGGGGAGCGGTGGAAGACGCGGGGGGAAGGGGTAGGTGAGACGTTTTATACGAGAAGGAAAACGGATGGCATGTGAAATGTGTGTGTGAGAAGAAGCGAGACGCAACGTCTCGGAGATTG